ATTCTGGTATGTGGCGCGCAAGAAAGGTTGGTCTAGCTTTTCCCCAAGCGGACATCGAAGCCCAGCAGGCCATACCAAGACCGAGACTGCTGTCCCTATGAAACGGGCCTATATGGGCTAACATGGGTCTCCATGCTGGTTCGAGGTAGGACTTTGCATTGCTGGGAAGAGTTTTCAACTCCCATTGATCTAAGAATATATAATGGGGCCGGGTAGTACAACAAATAGTCCGCAAACATGGCAGTACTGTTTTGGGAGCAGTTTGCTGTCGGAGGTTTTTTTTCACCCCCAACCCCTATGAACAGGATCCTATACAAGTCATATGATATTCATACTTTTTGTAGGGGATTGGGGACACCAAAATGCTCTCACTACAACCCCGATTCAAGGCCGCATAGAGTACCAGTTCCCGTGTCGTTTTCCGTGTACTTAGGTGTTTGGGTTTTGGGTAATAGTACGTGAGTTTAGTACAGGTTTTGGGTAAGTATCTGATATGATTGTTAGGCCCTTGGATCCTCGGAGTTTCATAGCTAGCGGAGTGTATCACCATGCTTACTTTTATGAGGCCCTAGGCTGAGAAAAGCATGGTCGTGCCGAAATCATGGAGCGGGCCATGTGACGCGCACTAGGGTGTTGATAGATCTTTTGTACCCGACCATGGTAAAGTAGTTCCAACATTGTGCTGCCATGACAGGACTCTCCAATGGAGTTCCTTAGGTGGACCCCCCACCCAGTAATAGTAACCGCCCCAAACCTCAGGAATTGAGGTTGAAGACGCCCTTCATGAACAGTCTCCAAGGAAGGCCCAGCAAATGCACGCCACCGCCCAAAGCCAAAAGTTGAAACCCACTTCTGCTTCGGATTTTGGTTTACTGATGAGAGGTTAGGTCTTCTTGCTTCTTCTTTTCCTGTAGGAAGGTCTCAGCACAACTTAGGCCATCTGGCAGCCTTCAAAAGCATTTGAAGGGGAACTTTGGGGTATCGTGCACCCCCTTGACCTGGCAGAATGTGATGTTTACAAAGAGTACAATGTTTCTTGGGGGGTAACAAGGCTGCATCAAACTTGATTAGGAAGAATTCTGGCAAGTAGAAGAGCACTCCCCATGTCATACGGGTGGTTGTCAAGTTGAGGCTCTGTTGCTATAGGTTGAGTCTTGCCCCACGCATTAACAGTGCACAGCAGGGGTCATATTAAGGCTCTGCATATTTACATTACAAATATTAACCAACCCTAAACCCTTAAACCCCTAAACCTTAAATCCCTGTTGATGAGTGGGGGCAGTGTCCAAGCTATAGGGCTCAAGCGTCAGTGTCGTATACAGGGAAGCATGAAGCATCATGAAGGGCGCAATGTTGGTAGCTATGCGTGCGAGTATTCAGGAAGCAGTTCAAGATTCAGCGGTGCAGCTGTTCAACTATTCCCCTTCCCCAACTGATAGACTCCTTCCACCCCTCCAATAAGACATCTTCCTGTCATGTTATCGTGCTACTGTTGGGTATAGTCCGCCCCTGATCTACCCTAGTCCTTGTTCGGAGACCCCCCAAAAATGGCACCTCTAATTTCCGAAAAGCTCCAATGAAAAGAGCTTCGCACCGTGGGATGGTAATCTGGGTTGCTGTTAAGGAACTTAAACTAAGTTACTATATTGGGGAAACCCTGTTATTTACTATATATACCCAATATAGTAACTTAATTTAAGTTCCTTAACAGCAACCCAGTAATGGGTGTGGGGTTTAGAAATTAATTCTTCAGGTATCCAGAGGCTCACAGATACCGGCATTTGGCACCTGATGCTGGAGCAGTTGAAACTTGAAGCCCCAAACCCCAAACCCTAGACCCTACAGTTCGGCTTAGGGTCAATACAATATGCCCCAGACAAGCCTTACCTTGAACCCCAAAGTATATAAGTTAATGGCCTTTCTGGCTGAAAGGGGGTTGGGGGTGGACTAGTATTTACCTACTTCTGGGGTCCAGGTAGGCTAAGGCTCTTAGGACTGTATGGGGCTTTGTGACCGAAGGCTTGGGATTTGGGAAGGTAAGATTAGGGGAGAGGGTTTAGGGTTTGGGGTCTTACTATGAAAAGCCCAAAAATCTCATAACTAAAGGTCAGCCCACTTGAAGGTTGTTGAAAAGAAATGCGTCAAGTAGCTTTATTTTAGATTGTCCAGTTGTTGAGGCCCGTCCCTGCCAACCTTTTGTGCCTACAGGTAACCCTGAACCCTAAACCCACTACCCACGCCGGGGATCTTAAACCAAGGATCACTCCAAAGACCAGGATTTAGGGTTTAGCGCGACCCTAACCCTAAACCCTAACAAGTATAGCCTCAGACACCCTCAGCATTAAGCCCGAAGACCCAAATCCTCGACCCTCTGCCGCATAGAGTTTTTTGAGTTTAGGGCTAAATCCTCAACCCCAAGACCTAAAGCTCTAAACCCTGGAAACACATCAATATCCGAGCGCGGAAAACTCAAAGTAAAGCCTTAGCCATTTCGGAAACACCTAGAAGGAGGGACCCCTAGTTATAAGATGGGTTGTAGTACTAGGGATATGTGCGGTAAGTAGAAGTTCATATAGGCCTTGCAGTTAAGGACTTGTATAGTAGCTTCCAAACTGTTACCCTCACAATGGTACCCCTAATTGTTGGAAATCCCCATATGCATAGTTCTCTAAATAGGGGCCCCCAGACCACCCTAAACCCCAAACCGTAAACCCTAAACCCTGAATCCTAAATCCCTAACCCCAAACCCTAAACCCCAATCCCAGTTGCTATGGACCTCCCTTACCGGCTGGCGGAACCTTAGTGCCGGCGTTGCCAGCTCCAGGCCTAATCTCAAAGGGCTCAAATTGTGGGATGAAGGAAGGTAGGGTTTAGGGTTTAGGGTTTCAGTGTTTAGGGATGGGGAAATTAGTAGAGTACGTATACTAAGGTTCCTTTACCCCACCTATCCTCATCCCGCCTTTTGAGCCCCCTGACAATTGGTGGGAGTTTGCCCAACCCTAAACCCTAAACCCTAGGAGTATATAAGGTTCTGGCTTCAAGTCTTAGGGCTTAGGATAACCCTTGGGGGTTTCTAGAGGGTCAGCCTAGACCCTTGGAAAAGGTAAATATTCCAAAGCTTTGGGTGCGAAGCCCTTGTTGTAAAAGAGTACATAGGCTTCTCTAGTCAGAGTTTAGCGTTTACGGGCGTTGCTAGAAGGATTCAGTATGGATTGATGGATCTATAAGGTGTAGGGTTCAGGATTCAGGGTTGATAGTGTTTCCAAAAATCTGATGAGTCAATCCGATCATCGGGATTCTGTTTTTTGCGGCCTGCAAACGGGACCTCTAGCATGGGCAATGCTCCTGAGTCTTGATCTTCCTTCTTGTGGATTGTTTTCTTTTGCTTCGGATTTGTTAGGGCTATGCGCTGCAATATAATACCTAATATGCGCATTTATTTTTGTATATATGTCTATATATATATACTCTTGACTCTAGAGAAGGCTTGTGGTTTAGGAGTATGGGTTGTTGGGCTTGGCGGTGGTACTGACATTTGACCCATAGTCTAAACTCCTGCAAGGGGGATCATATAGGGGACTACAATAGGGGTTATGAAGGGGTTACTAGCAGTTTAGACTATAGCTCCTTTGGGCTTGGGATTGACAGTGAAGGCTTGGGAGTTTAGAGTTCCGGGTGTTGTGTTGAGGAGCTTTTGGTTTCGGATTCTACGGTTCGTTGGTGTGGTGGTCATTCCTTAAGGGTCCGAGGACCCTAATAATAGGGCCCAAATACTATAATCTGAATGGTATTTGGGCCTTAAAACCCCATTATTTGGGTGTTTGGACCCTTAGGGATTGAACGATCCTAAACAAGTTTTGGGTTTGGGCTCTGCAGCTGAGTGTTTAGGAATGCAGGCTTTAGAGCTTCGCGTAGGGCTTGGAATTTGGGCCAGTTGAGTATACTGATGCGTCAAAGTTGTCTGTTTTTGCTGTAATTGTGTACTGCAAAAAAGGAACCAGGATGCCTAGGTATAGGGCTTACCTAGAGCCACACGGTTTAGAGTTATATAAGGGTTTATAAGCCCTGAAGCCTAAACCCTTAACCGTATAGGGTCTTCGTAGGTTTGGTGTGGTTTTGTTGGCTGCTATTTTTTGACCCCAAGAGGGTACTGATCCCTTCATACAAACATTTACATTCCTCCACCCCTAAAATCAACTATTCCGCACAAGAGACTAAATACTCGGCGACATGTCAAAGATTAGGGTTTGACTTTGCTTGGATAGTAGCCCTGAACCCCAAACCCTACATGAAGTGATTTTCGTACAGGTTTTGGGCAAGTATATATTTTATCAGGTCCTTGGACCCTTAGGGCTACTGCTCAAGGACATTAAGGCCCAATGTAGGCAGTATTTATAGACTTGGAGTCCTACCCTGAGTCACCTAGACCCTTCAACAAGGCAAAGATACCACATAGTTGGGTACAAAACCTCCTTCCACCGTTACATTGGTTGCCACATAACCCTGTAATGCCACACCCTTAACTCAAAGCCCTAAGCCCTAAATCCTATAGAAGCCATAGCTTGAGGAAGTGTAGGGGCTTAATGCTTGGTGTACCGGCTACTCTAAGTACCCCCCCCCCCCTTCCATACCATCCCTATGAACCTCTATGTGAACCCAGATTCCATGTTAGTTTTCCATGTCCTTTATCAACTGACTTTTTGCTCCTTGGGGCAAGTATCGCTACACCCTAAATCCTAAACCCTGAACCTTAAATCCTATAAACCCTAAACCCTAAACCCGCCTAAATCCCAAAACCTTAAATCCTATAAACCCACAACCCAAAACCCCCCTAAATCCTAAATCCTAAACCTTAAATCCTATAAACCCTAAACCCTAAATCCTAAACCCTAAACCCTAAACCCCCCCCCCTATACCCTGAACCCTATACATCCTAAACCCTAGAAAAGCCAAACAACGAACATCCAACGAGGCGTCGTCAGCTTCTGGACGGTCACTGGATGCCTTGGGATGAGCTCCGAATGGGCTTGGGAACTTAGAAAGGTTTAGGAATTAGGGTTTTTGGGTTAGGAGAGTGTAGCGGTTAGGGGTTTAGGGGTTTACGGTTTAGGGTTTAGGGTTTAGGAATAAGGGTTTAGGGTTAGGAGAGTTTAGGGTTTAGGGGTTTAGGGTTCAGGATTTAGGGTTAAGGATGCAGGGTTTATGAGAGTTTAGGGTTTAGGTAATGTTTAGGGTTCAGGGTTTAGGGCGGAGGGTTAAGGGTTGCAGGGGTTGGGAGTCCGTAGCGGGTTGAGAGTTTTGGAATTCAGGGGTGGATTATTCAGGTTTTACACCTTTAAGATGTTGTAGGGGCCTACAAAGAATTTGCACGGCACTCGGAAAGAAACTTAGAAAGCGATTTGCAGTCACTTCAGAATGCTACTACATCTGCTTTTTCCAAGCATTCTAAGATGCAAGATATGACAAAAGTTGAGAAACCCATGCGCTAATTGTTAGAGGCTTTCGAGCTGTGGTTAAACGGTTAGGGAACTTTGCACGGAAAAAGGGAGCTTACAGTAATCCTTACATAAAGTAGAAACCCACATAATATCTGTTCCGTTAGCCCCTACTAAGCCATAAAACCCTTATATAACCTCTTACCCTGCTACCAACCCTCTGGTAAGGCATTCTGGGGACGAAGGGCTATTAGGCGATAAATGCTTCATGAGCCCCGTTGGGCTCTGCTTCGCATTTTGCTGGTTTAGGGTTTAGGGTTTAGGGCTGGAACCTCAGATCCTCTATTCAGGGCTTTCCTAAAATTCTGGGTGCCGTTTTGGGGGTCCCTATGATGAGGGTTATAGTATCTGGGGGGTCTATATTGGGGCCCTTTTTTAGAGAAAGTACAAATTTCCAGATTCTCAATGACCATTCTTGGGATTTTCACTCGCAGATACTCACAAGTGGATACCACGGAGTACCTAGCTAGGAAAAGAGCTTCCATGTTGGAACCGCCTCCTGGACCTGTCCAACACCATGCTTTGCTCCCAGGGTTCGGGGATCGGGCTCGGGCATGCAAAAACTGAACCGGGCCTTTTCGAACAGTTATGCCTACAGAATCCTCAGCAAAGTCTTCTTGCAACCCCGTTTTGATTTGGGGTCCGATACGTGCCTGTGTTGAGAAATTCAGCGTGGAGCCTCTAGTGAAGACAGCTTTGAGATCTGTTTATTCAGGGGTCAGGGCATCTTTTGGGTAGAAGGTTTGGGTCGGATTTAGGGATTAACGAGGTTCAGCCAGAGAACTGCGTTTAGGGGTACTTGGAGGGGTCAGCCATATAAAGGCATTTAAGGGGTTAAGGGTTCAGTTATGAATGGCCAGTAGAAAGCACTGCTGATA